TGGAGCTTGTCCAAAGCTGGGGCATCCCTTGGGCTCGGGGAGGGGGACATCCAGAAGTAGAACCTGTGTGACCTCACCAAGTGTGGGGATAGCCGCAGCATCACTTTTTGGGTGTGGGGAGCCCCATTGCCTGCCCCCAGGGTACAGCACCCATGAGTGTGCCAGCAGGGCTGGAAGGTAGGTGGGTACACCTTCACAACCAGATCCTGACTGGGGTTCCCCCGCAGGCCTACGTGAACATGGCCCTGTTCGAGAACTTCACCTACGCGGGGATCGATGCCACTGCAGAGGAGGCGTGAGGCTGCGCTGGCACCATGCAGAGGGGCAACGCTGGCCCCAGCCTGCTGGGACAGTACTGTGGGGATGAGGGGCTGCCTGTCCTGCCCAGGGGCCAAGTGCTGGTGCCCCTTCCTGAGAGTGTCTTCCTGCAGCAGGACTGTGCCATCCCCTCCCTGGTTGCCCACCCAGTGTCTGCTGGCCACACTGGCACACCAACAGCTGCCAACACAGCTCCACAATGCTGGGGGATGTGCTGGGATGGCCCCCAAGGACAAGCAGCAGCAGCGTGTTTGCGGCAGAGCAGGCAGGCCGCTGCCTGAGCCCATGGACACAAATGCCCAAGATTTGGGACGAAAGGGGAAGCAGCGACCCGGCAGCTGCCTGCCCTGCAGCTCTTGGTGTGCTCTGGGCATGAAGTGGTGCCAGCGGAGCTGTGATCATCGCTGCTGGCGTGGACCCACCGGGTGCAAAGGGACAAGGGACAGCATTGGCTGTGCAGTCTCCAGCTCTCTGGTAAGCCTTCGGAGGTGCCAGCTTTGCCTTATGGACAATAAACGCAGTGCAACAGGCAGCTGGGTCCAGAGGAGGGGAGGGGGGGGTCCCAGATGTCCCCACTGACAGCACTGGGGAACAGGATGTGGGACCCCAGTGATCTGCTGCTGCTGTGGGGATTCCTCAGCATCCTGTCCTCGTTGGGGTCCTCTGACCCAGGGATGGCCCAGCACCCCCAGACAAGCCTTAGGTTCTCACTGTGCCATGGAGATGGGTTTTCTTAGTATCCAACTGGGATCTTGCCCCCTGCAATTTAAGACTTTGTCCTGTGCCCAAGGGGTACGGAGGACAGACCATGTCCTTCCTCTGCACAGCCACCTCTTGCATGCTTGAAAACTGTTCCTGCAGCTTCCTCTCAGCTGGCTGCTCTTCATGGGGATGGTCCTGCTCCTCTGGCCAGTCCCCACAGGGCTGTGTGGCTCCACACCCTTCCCACCCCAGCCAGCTGGCGCCTGCCAGCGCTGTGCCAAGCCATCGGGTAACTTCCCCTGTCTTACGAAGGAACCGTTTGCGTTCGACTGCAAGGCTGGTGCCACCGGGGTGATGCTCTCTCGCGTGCTGGTCCCTCGAGGATCACCTGGGCTCTGTGCTGACCCTCCCACAGGAGCTCCTGTCCCAGGCTGCAGTCCCTGCTCCTGCACTGCTGCAGTTTGTTATATTGACAGTAGATGGGCTTCATTTTTGTTGGCTTCAGTTTACTAACCCCCAGGCATGCCATCCCGCTGCCTGTCCAGTCGCCTTCTGCAGTCCATTGGAAACCAGATCCCATTAGCCCAGCCCAAGGCAGATGTGTTTGTCATTTGCCCTTTTGGCCAAGAGTCTTTTGTTCCCCAGAAGGTGTTTCAATCCTGTCAATACCATTTTGATTTCCTGTTCTGGCCTCCAGTGCTCTTTGGTGTCAACTGCAGCCGTTAGTAAGCAGCATCTCTGCCCCATTACTGAGATCCCCTTTGAAATGGTGATGGGGACCAGCCCTCGCGGGTGGCCTGATTGGTGTCACTGCCCCTGCACCTTCCTCTGCTGCCAGCTGGGAACAGCACCTGAGGCAGCATCACCAGCCCTGGTCAAACCAAGGGCTTTCTGCTTTTTGCCTCCCTGATGGCAAAGCCCACTAGCCAGAAGGAGAAGGAAGTGGGACTGGCTTGACAAAATTTGATCGTGACAAATTGGTGCTGGCTGTTCCTGTCTCCCCTCGGTGCCCCCAGTGCTACCCCTGGCTGCTGCAGGGCGAGGAGATGACAACTCACCCTTGTTGCAGTGAGGACGCGTGTGTGAGCAGCTCCTCACGCCCTGGCTGGTGCTCCCTGGGCTGCGCTGCGGTGCTGCACCCTGGCAGGTTGGGACACCCCCCGGCCACCCACGCCGAGCAGTGGTGGTGGATCGGCACAAAGCTGAGCATGCCTGTGGGACCCCACCATGGCGGCCCTGCTCCTGCACCGGCACCACTGGCATCTGTGTGGGCCTTGACAATGCCCCTGTGCCTGCAGCCCTCCTCCTGGCACAGCCACAGTGCTGCTACGCTGCGC